GTGTGTGTGTGTGTGTGTGCGTGTGCGTGTGCGTACGTACGTGTGTGCGTTTGTGCATGTGTGTGAGTGTATATGTGGTGAAACACGAAACCAATTTGCCAGGATCTGGACAATTAAGTTGTAACTTATCGATCTAATCTTCAACTTCTTTGGGGTGGCTGTAACTGTTCACAAAGGAACAATTTTCAGTGACCTGTGACAGCATGACAACACGGCGGAGCCAGCACCGCTGTGTCAAATGTCAACGAATCACATACGAAAAACTAGGGAAGACACCAAGATGTATTTCTACCCCAAACGGGTCGAAATCTTCTGTTCAGCGATGGAATTGCAGTTAACAACAAAGGGTCAGAAAGACAACAGCCACGTTTCAACCAGAAACATTTTTGTTTTAATGACACTAAAAAGAAATGGCACCCTCCTATCATCAGCCGTCAGAAATCCAATGAATACCAAACACTTTGTTTTTATGTTTAGCAAAGAGTTTTACAGCGCCTGCAACACTAAAGTATAAGGTCATATATGCGCCAGAGATTAGATGCGTTGCAAGAGAGTCACAAACACAAAAAAGGAAGAGAGATCAGGACAAGAGATGTTCGATAGGAAAGAAGGAGCAAAACCACACCAGAGCACCTGCCAATCACCCACCACCTGCAGTCAGAAATCCAACAAATGCCAAACACTGCGATTTATAAGCAACTATTCTGGTCACCACAAATGAAACCAGAGTGATATCGGGGTTCAAAATGCAACATCTGACAGACTTGTTTGTTTTAATAGAGGTTTTATGGCGCTTGCAACTGCATAAGGTCATATGAGCCCCAGAAGAATAGAGATGTTACAAGAGAGTAACAAACATAAATAAGGAGGGGAGATAAGGACGATCAATGTTTGATAGGAAAGAAGAAGCAAACCACACCAGAGCACCCGTCAACCACCCACTCTGACAGACTTCAGACACCAGAAACAACAAAACTACAGTAACAAACCTAGTGTAGAGCTTGCCCTGGCGACCACCCCCACCAGACTGAGTCTTGAGGTTTTCAAGTTTTGCTGGGCTGGGAATGAACTTGACATCACAGCCCTCTTTCACCAGGCGCCCTATCCACCAGTCGTTGTTGAATTTCTGGAAGGAAATTTTTTTTAATAACTTGCGAAATCTTAAATAAGACAAAACTGCTGTAAAAGTAAAGCAAAACAAAAAACAAAATCTATGCTCGACTATACTGACACACTAAAAAAACACTAGTACCTGCATTACACAAAATATTTGGCAAAACAGAGACATTTGGGAAAGCCTGGGGTCAAACTGAATGTTTAGTTTAGAGAACTATAAATATTCATCAAGTTTCCCACTGAAAATAGATACGTTTGTACGTGAGGTACAAAAATACACTCAAAATCAGTATTCACATCTTAAACAAGACAGTAAAAAAAAAAGCAAGCATAGCTGTGTGACTCTCTAAAAATGTTTACATGTGAACTTCTTTTAAAACCCAGAAAACAAATCTTTCACAGATTTTCATTTGACAACAAAACATAAATAAACACTTTAAAAATGTCTCTCTCTCTCTCTCACTCCCAATCTCTCTTTCTCCCTCTCTCCATCGCTCTTTCTCACTCTCAAAGTGTTGTCATATATATCAGGCACACATAAGTTGTTCTGGAAGCAGGTTCCCACTTTATGTTTTTGAGATCTATGCTTTCATATTAGATGAGACCTTGTCAACATAAACTGCCTTAGCAGTAGCATGGAACAGGTAAACAAAACTTTTTTAAAATTCAGCGCCAACCTCTTTTGCATACAGTACGAGGCAAAAAAGAGGTAATGGTACTCACCTCTTTTATGTGTAAGTAATCTCTGACCCCAAAAGATACTGCATAGCCGTGTACCGGTGAGTCATCATCCACGGAGCCATCATAGGAGACATTTGTCCGCACCGCAAAAGCTACCGGCTTTGTCTGGGGACATGACAATTGAATGCACATATACAAGAATGTTGATGACTAGAACAATCTGCACGCCCAATCCACACAATTTAGATCATAAAAGAGGCAAAATCCTTTGGACACTGTTTGCCTGGGTTACATGGGCTGTATATGAGGCACACATCCCCCTAAAAAAGAGGGAGAAATCAAATATGATCCCCACTTTATGCAACAGAGTCACAAATACCTTTGGCTCAAAGCTCAAAATTAAACAATTAGTGTATTGGCTACCATTCTACCAAAGTTAATTGCAACTTTATTCTCTTTCTGATGATATAGTTTTACTGATCTGTCTCTTAAATGAAGCCAACAAACATTCATAAAAGATTGTGACCTTTGATGTCATGCGCAGTCAAATTTTCCTTGGCATGTGAGGTGCATAGGGTTAGCAGTCAAGGGGTTAAATGAAAAAGAAAAAATTGAAGGTAATCAAGGGTAAAATCAGGAACCTCATTAAGTAGAGCACACGATACGAAAAAAAGTGGCTGTGCTTATTCAAGCATGAAAGTGAATTAGCTTTTTGCAAGTCAGCAATTCTATGAAAAAATGGTTAACCTCAAAATATAAAGTTAACAACACTTTCTAAGCATTCCAGCTGTTTGTTTTTTCTACCCATGGAATAACTGAAAGGTAATATTCGACAATTTACTTTCATAAGCTTGGTCCAAGCTTTGGGGCTTAGTCACGTATTATCCATAGACAACTCACAAAAACTCAGAAACACATTGAATCTGATAATTTACTCTAAAAGGGACAAACAATTTTTTTTTTCTTCTAATATAAGCCTCCAAATCCCCTGAAATACCTGCCTCAGACAAATGAAGCTGAATATTAGCTTCCCAGTCCCTTCAGCAAAAGAAATCAATGCCAGTCAATTTTAAAAAGCCAACCCTTATTATATCAAGAAACCTTTCTATTGAACTGATCGCATGCCAGCTGCAGCTCAGAATAATGTTCTCAGGACCTGCATCAAAGGACCTTACTTTTCCCCCATTGAAGCACAAAGTGCCAGGGTCACAGCTGTTACAGTACAGTCAACCTAACGCTAAATCATTTGGGGTGTGTGAGTGTGTGTGCGTGTGTGTGTTGTTGTTGTATATATATGAAAAACATTACTCTACATAAGTAGATCAATGCTTCATATACGTGCACATGGCATGGGCTTGCCCAGACCGCCCAGACTGTGCCTACATAGGGAGTTGAACCAAACCACCCTGCTTTAAAAGAATAGTTAATGTTGAGCTAAGCAAAAGTGAAAATGGTGAAAGGGTATATATAGGTTTAAGAGCCTTATCGACACTATTAGGTTATTTAAGAGGAAGACTCAGGACCTCCGAGTTTAACGTCCATTTCCGAAAGGATCGAGCCAAAAGGGAAATTTGGGTGAAGTGCCTTTCCCAAGGACACACTGTCGGACCGAGCTGAGGCTCGATAAGCAAAAAACTGTTACCAAGTCCAACCAACAAATACAAACGACATACCTTGGCTTTTTCTAGCTGAGTGAGGGCCTGCCTCTCAGTCTCTCTCCGCAACGCCTCCTTCTCTTCATCTAAAGAGATGTCCGAGGACGGTTGGCTATAATTGGAATCTGCAGAACCCTGGAAACACAAACAATTTAGTAACAATATTATACAATACTGTCGAAAATGGCAATAGTTATGACTTAAGTTAAAACGGTACACATGCTCTAACAAATCTTTACCAAGAAGGATCCCCAAACTTTGTTTGGACAAGATTCTTTCTGCTCATTATTTCAACATAGTATTATTCTGTGTCTTTCCAAATTCACATTCCATTTTTATAATTCAAGGGTTGGTGAAGAGACTTCCTAAACCAAATAAAATGTTATGCAGATGCTACACCATTCATACATATATACAATGCACTGAAGAATCACAAATAAAAATGCACTAAGCTAACATTTTTTGTGACAGAAAAAAATTACGTCTTTTCTTGTGAATTTTTAATATCATCTAACCACCAGATTACAATATTAAATAGTCACTTCCACGTATATATCTTAATAGCCATGAGAATATTACTTCCGAGAAGTAAGCTATATTAGACATTCTCTCAAAAACAGCAACATGAAAATAGCTCTCATATAACGTTCATAAACTTGACCCCCTCCCCCCCCCCCAAAAAGTTAATAAACTCTATAAAACATGACACAAAACACCATGGTACATTGGAGGGGGAAAAAGCCCTTGTTTGATTATCATGCGCAATGACAAGACAATACAACAAAAAACAAAAGAGTTTTACGGCGCTTGCAACACAATAAGGTCATAATAAAAGTGCCGAACCATTAGAGGTGTTACTGTTACAAGAGAGTAACAAACACAAAAACGGAGAAGGAAAGATAAGGACGACAGACGTTTGATAGGAAAGAAACACCAGAGCACCCGCCAACAACCCACGTAATCAGCACAACAAGGAAGAAGAGAAAGTTTGTTGGGTTCACCAAGGACAATGTTAACACCACAACAAGGAAGAAGACAAAAGTTTGGGGGGGGGGGGGGCTCTCGTGGCCAAGAGGTTAAGGTGTTGGTCTCATTCAAAGGTCCCGGGTTCGAATCCGGGTAGCGACCGAAAAATTTTCTTCTCTAAAATTGTCTCCTTTCACCTTCTTTCCTGCTCTCTAGCAATGTTCTGTCGTCTGCTTTCATTTCCACTTTCTGCCCCCACCCCCTCACCACCTTTGCCCCCTCCACTAGGCTCCTGACTCTTTCTGCAGCCTTTCTACTGCTACTCCTTGGCTCTTCCTTACTGCTGTCTTTCTGCCACACCCCTGATCTTCTGGTAGGAAAGATCTACACCTAGCCTTCTCGGACAAGGGCGAAAAATCCCAGAGGGCCCGTGTGCAAGTTGCGCATGTTAAAGATCCCTTGGTGGTCTAAAATCGATAAGAGTAGGCTTCGGCCGCCACCCAGGCAAAATTCAAAATTTCCTACCAACTGAAAATATTAGGTGTGTCCCGTGCGCTCATATGACTGTATGCAGTTGCGAGAGCCGTAAAACACTTTACAAAAACAAAAAAACAAAAGTTTGTGCGAGGACAAGGAAAACAGTTTGACAAGGAGGCAGACAAAGTTTGTTGGGTTCATCAAAGAATCAATGACAACAACGTTTACAGCACGACAAGGAAGAAGACAAAGTTTGCTGAGTTCACCAAGGAGTCGATGTCGCTGAGGCCCGAGGTAGCCTCCTTCCTGAGGCGTCCCATCCTGCCCTGGGGGAGCGTCTCGTGCATCACGGGGCTACTGTTCTCCATGCTGCCGGGAATCCCATGGACACCTTCTGTTTTGATGCGCATGTCACTAGAACAGTTCCCAGGCGACTGAGAGAGCTACACACCACCGAGGGGCAATCGCTGCGGGTTTGGGTTTCAGTCACAAAGATGTTCCGAACAGAAATTATTGATGGTGGAAAAAGCAATGAAGTCCAAAGTTCGGGTTCCATGTAGAGTGAACAGTCAACAATAATCAGGAAAATTCACTGCTTCAGCTTGAAGCTCATCCCATGTCTGTCTGAAGAACTCACGAGGTTCCACACAGTGTGCAATGCAAAGCACCATTCCTCAAAGAAATTCACCAATTTTACTTTCCACGAAAAGAGGTAAGATATCAAACCACAGTTTATGATCAGTGTTTTAACTTGAACAAATTACATTAAAACACCTTTCTATTCAAAGTCCACTTTCCGGCAACGTGTTAAGAACTCAAAAACAAGTAGAAGAGTCCGGAAGCTTCCATGACAAACCAGGTGGGTTGGCTGAACACCTGTCAGGAAGTATTGCTGTCAGCTGCCTTCTTAAGCTGAAAACAAGACATCCTATGAACATTCCAAAACTCTGCACCCAGAGAGCAAAAAGTTTTAAAGTACATAATAGGATAACAGAAAGAACCGAGTAATATAAAGAGGACATGGAAATAGGAAATTAAATAATAAGCGAATGATATTGGTGATATTATGACCAGGCCATAACAACGATGTTAAGCCGACAAAGAAGATTATGATAATCACCATTACAATACGAACTGTCAACTCACAGCAACTGCACTTCATGAAGTAAGTTTTTTCAAACCCTATCCGTACGTCATGTTTTACTATCGTATCTATACGATGTGGGGAATTCTGTGCTACCACTTTCCAAAGAAGAAATTTACTCGTTAATCCGATCCTTATGCTGTGCATAGCAGTCTGTCAAAATGATTTTTTGGTGAAATACTGAAAGTTTCAAAGAGATCTTCGCACTAGAAGTATTGAAAAATGTGAAGACTACAACACCGGGGGTACAAAATGACCCCAGAGCGTAAGGAGAACCCCCAACCAAAAAATCCACCCCACCAACAACAAACTTAAGTTTTTTTTCCACCCGACCTTATTCTTCTTGTCCAACCTGAAAGCAAATCTCCTATTATTATACGCTCTAACATCGCTCTAACATCGCTCTAACATCGCATCATCATCACCACGGTCTTTCTCATCCTGCATCACGGTATAATGACACCACGAACAAACTCTTTCCAGCTTTTCTTATCCTGGGCTATAGCCTCTTGATGTTATTCCATGTCTTCTCACTTTATATATTCTAAAATATGGTAACATTTAAGGACAAGCGGGTTAACCCGGATTTCGGGGGTTTCCAGAAATCTTGACCTACACCAAAAGTGGGCATTGCCCTACCTATAGGAGAAGTTTGGTTTCATTGGTGTGTATAATATTTGTTTAGTTATAGAGAAAACTCTCCTTGTCTTTTAAAGATACTGAACAAGAGTCCAAATACATTACCCATTGGAGTGCATTTTGTTTGGTTTAGAGAAAAATCTCTCCTTGTCTTTTAAAGAAACTAAACAAGGGTCCAAAACATATACCTTCGATTTCTTCAAAATAGCATTTTTCGGGATAGCCTCCTTGTGCTTAAAAGCGACTATAATAGACAATATATATATCCATGTAATTCACACACAAAACCCTGCCACAACCGCATTCCGACGCACTTTCTGCTCTAGCCAGGCTGCATGATGTGAAGAAACGCCCACTGCCAATAAATAAGAGCACGGCCCACCATGCTAGGGTAGTGTCGGCCTCAATCATT